AGATTATACAGCATAAATTCTTGGAGCACGAATGGTACGTACAATGAATCTATTCACGCGAATGAAATCAGAATGATTCAATAAGTGATATCAAGGCTTTTACGCAAAGATTGAATCACTTTTGCTTATGGAACACTTCTAATACCTTTCCCTTCGCGCAAGCACTCCCTTTTTTCTCATACTTATTCCTTAATTTTGTTGGATTCGAATTTCATGCTTGAAATCACCGGCTCTTATAATTATGGCTATCTAATTCTCGAAGCTTCTAATCTTTTACCGATAATACTACTAATTTTTTCGCTGTTCCCCTAAAATTGGCCTCTATACAGTACAGAATAACGGATACTTACGGTAAATGCATTTCGTGATAGCAGAGTAGATGGAAAAATTCGTTTGCCTCCAGGAGCATTTCGCAGAAATTGAGACGTTCACTTTGTTGTGTTATTTCTCGCATTTGCACCGTGTCATCAATTTTCACGTCTATTACATGCATTTTTCTGTTTGATAATTGCGGGCATTACGCCGAGTCACGATACTGTGGTTAACTGAAACTCAACGTGTTTATTTGGGAAAAAAGATAAACAAATCTTTGTGCAAATGCACAAACTTTATATTGAAGCATGACTCAGTGCATTACAGAATAATATGAAATATTATTAAACTTCTCCAAGAACTTTGAATATTAAGATTCTATAATCAAGGACGACGAAGAGAACGAAGTTTACGAATGGCCGCAAAGTAGATTGGAAAATATGATTAAATATCGCCGATAATGATCAGACGCCTCTAGTCACCACCAGAGATAGTAACGCGAGAAGTAGTACAATGTAATGCTAATAATTCCTTGAATACCAGATACTACTTTACAGTGCGTTAACTGTTGCCTTTCGCAAATTGTAATTTATTATTGCATCCAACTGAAACCATCATTCATAATTCAGCCGTATCGTAACCTGATCCATAACACATTTCGATTCTAATAAATATTAATGTATAGCTACCATTTGCATATACATCATAAACCGCTAATTGCTACGTTCAGGTAACCTTGGATTTCCGTGTAACGAGAAACAGAAGTAAGAAATCATGATTCCAATGAAAATAGAAATAGTACTCCGCTCTAATGAGAATCGTAAATCAAACGAAGAATACCTGGCATCGTGATACGTTGTGATCACAAGAAACGCGGCTGACGTGGAAAAATCACGACTCATTTCCTTCGATGTAGTAACAAAACGTTCGAGGGACGTTGAAATCAGCAAGTGGGCGAGCCATATCGAGAATTACGTCACATCGTGGTAATTTTGCCCCCTTCGTTGCCCGAGTGGGGCCAGCCGATGGGATCGCGTGGGACTGATCTGGCCCACGAACCGTTAACTGCACAGACTGATAATGACGGCTGATGAAATGATTGAGGAAATCTCGAAACAGTAGTCGGTCAATTTAGTCATTTCGTTCTGGCCATCCACGACGTGTTCGCCAGTGGCTGTTCCATCCTCAACGACGAACACTTTGATAAACCGGCGAATATTTTGATTCGCCTATGCGATGTTTGTCGAGTCCAGTCGCGATTGAAGCAACGCCAATAAATTATGACGCTTGCTGTCACCGTACGTGATTATTATATCCATTATGAAATAATAGTTTCTTCATGATCTTCGGATAATCTGTAATTGCGACAGCGCCTGCTTTTCACGAGGTTATCGAATCAATCATTGTTACCTATATTTCGCTATTAATTGAAAAGAAGGTTTATACAAGTATTTATGTGCATAGAAATGAAATATTGTACGTCTTCTGTAATATTATTGTCGTATCTTCTTTATTTTGATTAAGGAAAGAATATAGTATAGATTTGAAACGATTCTATGATTTGTAATTGATTTGTATATCAAATGGTCTACACCAAATGTTATAAATTATACTAACTCTCAGTTATAACGCATTAACTTATATTATTACTAATATTATGCATTTTATCTCACATTCTTAATACTCTCATTATTAAGGCTAAATTTCAATGCATACCACTTTAATTAAAATATCTTATCAAAACTGCTATAAATCATCCTGAACCAAATGAAGCAGATTTAACTCCCTAACCGTGGGCAACGCAGAATTTTTTAAAAATTCTAGCCTTGCTTTACCTGCATGTCCATATTTTAAATTGTATCAATTCAAAAACCTTCGATTACATTTATCACGTGTTTTCGTATTCTATTATAATTTTTTTCTAACAAATCAGTACAAACTTTCGTCTGCGTTTCTAAAATTACTCGCGGCTGGGTCAATAAAGTGTCACAAAAATGTTCCTGAAGCCTATTCCGCTTCCTCGATACCACGAGACAACTGAATTCCGTCGGAGATGTGTAAGGATCAATGGCGTGTCCAAACATATCCCTAGACCCATTGTCCGTATCACGTGTGATACAGTTCCGCGCTGGTTTAACAAACGTATGCACATGTGGGAGCTGCACGATTGCAGCGTGACCGCGCACGTTACAGGCCGCTATCGATTACCGGTGATTTTATCGATTAGATTAATGGGCGAGAGCGTGAGCCGGTTACCAGAACGCGAAATCATTTCGTCGTGCGGGAGAGCGTCGGCGACGATCGCGAAATCGTTCCCCCCAGGAATTTACGAAGGTTTCGTGGAATAAATAAGGGACTGCAGTTTGTTACCCGGCGCTGGCCTCATTTGCGTCCGGGCTTCGGGCCTGAAATCGATTTTCCATCGATAAGGACCGAGCACCGCCGCCAGAACCGCGCCAGAATTTACTCCGATTAGGGAGATACGCGTTTAATAGATCGCGTCACCGACTCCTACCAATGGGAAACCCTCGCCCATGACACTTCCTTGCGCGAACTAATGAGGCAGTTCACTTCCCGAGCGAGCGAGAACGAAGTTCACCTGAAAGTGCAGCGATTTAAATTATGCTGCTGCTGGTTTTCACACGTTCACGTCGGCGTAGGCTTTATTGAGTAATGGTTTTATTGGCCGACGTATCCCACTGATGAATCACCGCGGGCTATTTTAATTGGGTAATGGCCATTTAGTAATTGGACTGTGGATCTAAACATATATTTGAGTAATTATGAAATGACAAAAGTACAAAATGGTTTTTCCTAAGAAATATTATAAGAAGCTTTGGATAATTTTGTACATTTTATCGTATGCATTCATTTGCAATGTTAAGTTGTCCATAAATTTATACAAACTCGCAGTATAGCAATAATATAGGAAGACAAAGTAATGTTATTATTCTATTAACCCCCTGCTTGGTGATTTACTTCGTGACTAGATGTAGGTAATGAAAGCACTTCGAAAGTGTAGAGTTTCTTTGCTATTACCTTAAACTGAGAAAGTCTATTATTTATTAAATTCAATTTAAAATGTTCGCTGCGTGTGCTGAGCTGGTATTATAAGATAGGAGGTTCATGTGGTAGAGGCTTCAGCGGAACTAAATCATTCGCTCATGATAAATAACGAATGCCGGATGTAGCGAGGGTTTTATGAATTTCAGTTTCATCAGAATTTCACGAGTTTCATCAATTTCAGTGTACGCGAATAAGCGAGATATAACATCGCGGAGAAGTTAATAAACATTTGGGAAAGTCTTTATTGTCCTCCCATTCTCACGGAATCAGTAACGACGTTCAGTAGGAGAAATAAATTCGAGAACAATTTATGCTTCTATAAAACCGCTGTAAAATTACGAACTTGGATAAATTTCCGCTGTCCATATTAAACTCTTGGCTTGGACTCCTGACCCCTTTCGTCGATGTGCACTCCATCACATACAGCCTCTTGTTCTAGACGATTTTATTGTGTGAATATGCAGAATCTTCATTAGCTTGCTGTAGATTTTTTTGGAAAATACTTGATTTTATAGACTAGCTCTAAACTTGAGTTGGCAGATAAATTCCCTTGGAATTTCTCATTAACGTAGAAGAAATTATAATTGACGTTCGTGCTCTGAAAATTTAGTAGTCTAAAATATATACATTTTAATACTGTCTATATTTGTGTAAAGAATATAGAAGTTCCAAACTTCGCATGGACTTAAACCTCAGGCTCCCTATACAAATTATAAAGATCATGTTCATTAGTAATATATTTTTATACAATAATTATTTTTAAACATTACGTTTACAAAAATTTGTCGAAGACTTAATCAAATCTGTGAATATTAGACACGGGAAAACAATTAACTGCTGACAATTAATACATGGAATATCAGTTCTGAGTTTCATATTTCAAGTTCATAATTTTCGAATTGAAACTTCAATACCTGAAATTAGGAATTCCAATACTGCATCTTGAACTGCATTTTTCCCCGTAGCTGCCAAGACAATACCTAACACAATTCAATGAAAATATATGGTTTCAAAAGATAATCAAGAGATATAAACGTAACAATACTAACAGTACCATTGTCGCTAAGAATGGATTTAAATTCATATATTGATTATCTATAATAATCGGATATACCAATGAAATGTATAATTAATGGAAATGTTACCTGCGGTGCATTCTACATAACGTTACTAACTCACGTAACATCTCAACCAATAATATTGAACGCGGACCACATAATTCTGAATCAGATAAAATTCTTATTAAATTCATTTCTGTAACATCCAGTAATTATCGCGCAAGATTAATGACAATTCATTTACGGCCAACAAGAGGAGCGTCGATAATGATTATATCAAACTGGGTTGAAAAGGGGTGGGGACAAGGTTGCAAATATAATTGAAGAAAAAGAACAGAACAATTTCTCCTGACCGTCCCGAAGTTTTACAACGAAACGAGATTCCGTTTAAAGGTAATCACGGTATCGGTGCAAAAATATATCTGGCTTCTAGCCACGGGCATTAATCACTTCGACGGAATCCGCGTTAGCAACATTCGCTACTATGTCTACTAGTAATGACCAGTGAGCTCCGAACTTCCGTGCGTGATCGAGAATTAATGAGGTACACGGGGACCTAAAGCCAGTCGTTAATCATTATTACAACGTAATTATCGGAGATCGTTAGGCAGAAGTCGAAGAAATTAGGTGGTGCACGTTGTCATTAAACCGGCTGCTTCGTAAATTTAATAAACTCGACGAATCGATTATTTCGTTATCGAAGCCGCAGTCTATTTCCCGATCGATTCCAATGCCCGTAAGTTCATCAGACGCATTTTTTTCTCGTTGTTACTGGACACAGGTACCGTTGCTACGTAATATTTGACCATTAGCTTTCCTTGTAATGAAAAGGAAATCGTAAAAATTCGAATTACTTGCATTTCGCGTGATCAGCCACTCACTTGCGCCGTTAATCGTTCCGACGTTCTTTATCGTAGCACTATTTATACTTCAGGTGTCAATATTTTTTATATAAATTTGAAAATTAATTGTCTCAGGGATGTATCTAACGAACAGAATTTTGTTGGACTTACTACGTGCAAGAAGATTAAGAGAAATCACTATGAAAAATCTTGACTCTTCGGGTTTCGTTTCATTAACCCGTTGTCCTATGATTTCTTTCGCAACTGTGCCCAATGAAATTACTTGATCGTTAGTAAAGTTTATTAGAAAATTAATTTATTAGAAAAGGAAAAAAATTGACACTAGATCTACACTCACGTTTGCTGTAAAGATTAACGATAGATGATAGAAAAGTATTATTTAATTTATATTTTAAAAAAAGTAAGATAACATTTAGGTCTGTCCAATTCAGTGTTAGATTCTCAGCACCTGTTTGATACGGTATTATAACACAAGAAGTTAAATCTTCTTCTTTTCGTAATTTTTTAACATAGCCACGTTCTCATTTTGTCAAGGATTCTTTCAAATTTGAGAATAGTACAAGAAAATTGTTATCAGACTGTTCGATTCCATTTTTTCAATTACATTTCAAGTTTGCAAATAGACTAAAGACCGTAGAGTTAAGAAAATTGTTTCAAATGTTATAGAATTTCAATGAGCGTCGATTCACCGGTCAACGCGTTAAAAAGGTTATTGAACGTGTATTCTGCGATTATTTAATTGAACAAACAGCGACGCGATAATCGAACGATTTGTTCGGCCGACAAATATGATCGCGGAGAATTTGACACTGGCTGAACCGTGAAAGGGCGGAAAGACAGGCGCACGCAAAATCGCGCGTTGCCGGCCATTTAACGGAACTCCGGGCACGATTGAAATAATGGAAATCCCAGATAACGTCGTTCCTATGGCAATCTCGGGTGCAAGATCGATTGTCCGATCGCTATCTGAAAACGTGTAACGACATAATTGCCAGGAATACTTCTCGGCAATAAAATCAGGCAAGGTGTTAATAA